CGATTTGATCAATTCATGATTTGTTTCTTCTGAATCCGGCCTGTTCCGGTCGAAGTTTTTCATCTAGGGCTTGTTCGATTCTTTCCAGGATGATGCGGCTTAGTATTTTGCTTGGAATGGACAGAAGCATAATTCCACGCCAATTTTTGCATTAACTTAAGTTTCCTTTCTTTGGTAGTTTGAATAAGTATCCGTTCTTTCAATCCTCGGGTACTTTGCCCTCTTTCCACACCTTCTCCAGTAGTGGTGTCATCAAGTCCGCTGTTGTCTGTGGGTCTGTTTTCAACGACATGAAATAGAATGTTCAAATGTACATCTATGTTGTATTCTGTTGCTAATGCAATATAATAAATGTGGGAAAGTATGCTGTGTCTCTAACATTAACTAGAATGTTCAAATAGATATTATGAAAGAGGCTACAGTCAGTTTCTAGGTCATGATGAGTTCCTGCGTCAGCTAGTTAGTTATATGTTTTCGTGAATTCTTTTTCCATTGAATTTTAAAGGTTTTTCTGGATGTTTTGCTCATTTCGCAGTGTGTAGGTCAGTTTTTGTCACTGGATGCTACTATTTAGCTTATTTTAGCCTGAAGTTCCCAGTTATTATGTTGGTAGTCAAGGATTATGGTAAACCTGCAATCTTTGAGCTAATTAACGTATACTATGCTAATATAGTAACATAGACTATGCTAATAATAGTAACAGTAAACTCGCTTACTGTTTTGCCATTGTTTGACAGTGAAACTGTGCGCTGATTTTTCAGCATGAGTGGCACTAAATCGAACCTACTGGGTTTGCTTATCAACGTTGTTCCAGCCCTCACAGAACATATTAAGCATGGACTAGCGTTACTCCAGAGCGGAAAGTTTTGATACAGCACGCAGTTGTCTTTTTAAGCATTACCTGTGTCATTTCAGAACATAGTGGGTAAATATGATCTTCAGTTACCTTAAAAAGGCATTATCGAGGAATAGGTTAGAATAAGTTTAGAATTGTTTTAAGCCTGGTGGTGCTGCGGTCTAAGTGATAAATCGTATTAATCACCGTTATTCAGGATATGCTATGAACAGGAAATCCTCAGCTGAAAAACGTATGAATAAGACACAGATCGGTGTAATTTATAACTGACTCCAAATTGCTCTCATCACGAAACAATCAACCAAAGTATGCTTTAAACTGTCGCTCTCAGCCATTTGAAGGGAAATTTATTTGATTTATGCTGACCTAGTATGCACAAATCCCAAAGGTCATTGAATTGACAACTTAAAAAAGTAGATTAGTTAATACATACATTTATCTATATGTACTAATTAGGGATACATTAAATTTTTAGAAATTGTAGTTAAATTTTATTCGCCTAGTAATCAAAAATGCATACATCCTATTTTCGACTTAAAGTAAATGCATCGAAATTATTGTTGATTTATATTCACTTACTAGACATTCTCATACATCTTAATGTACTTTAATCACCACCAATGCATCCAAATAGCGTGTTACTATCACACTACAATCACACCAAAAAAATTAACACCCCATTATATTATGGTAAGGTAAGCCCTAAATCATACTGACTGTAAATTTCTGTGTCAAAATAAGATTACCGCTTTAACTTATATTTTAGACCAATAGGAAGCCAGCTAGCCAACAGCCAATCAAAATCTGCCTATATCTATTTTCTAGATGTGTTGGGATGGGTTGCATGGAATCGTCAACTAACTTATTTTTTATAGCTGGGTGCCCATCTGCAGGATAAGGAATCTAATTTATTCACTCCGCTTTAGGATAAGAAACATTTGTAGTCCTGATTGCGTTGACTCAGAACTTAACTTCCTAAAGCCAGAAAACGGTTACCCGAACCGATTTATTGATAGCAACATGAAAGATAAGCAGTCTAAACTGGTCACCGACTCAGTTCCAAAGAAAACATTATTCGTGAACTAGGAATTCAAAGGTGATCAAGCTTCAGATATGCTCAAATGTCATCTCTCTAAAGCAATCAATAAGACGTTCTTTGCAGCAAAATTGCAAATGACATTCACCAGCCGCAAGTTCTGCTCCATCTATTTAAAAGATAACCTCCCCCGTGTAGCTGCCTCCATGTACATCTATCAGTTCACTTGCTCTTGTGGAGCAAGGTACATTGGCCGTAGCCACAGGACGCTTTCCACACGGATACGAAAACATTCCAGCTTGGTTTTACAAGGAAGAAAGGAAGTGTGTGAGAAGCTCTAGTTTGGAAGACCTGATCGACTCCTGTCACTCCACCAACCCTGACCATGATTTTATGATCATCTACCGAATCCATGCTAACCTGCCACGTTTTCTTCGCTACACACTTCTAAAGACAGAGGAGATGCCTTAGCAATTCATGACTTTAAGCCAGACCTTTGTGTACAAAAAAAGTATGTACAATCCCCACTCCTCCTGCCTTGGCTGTAAAGGGATGGACATTTATTTATTTATGTATTTTGTTTATTTAGTTATTCTATGTACCTTTCCCTTATTACTACGTTTATTATTATTATTATTATTATCACTCTGAACTGTTTCCACTTGTCGCACTTGTCATTCTGAAACCAAAGTTATTTTTACAATATTGAATTCTATCTTATGAAATTTCACACCATGTTATGTAACATTTTATTTTCGCTTACTTATCCTATAATTATGCACCCCTTTCCAACATCTTTATACCTAATGTATTAATCTATATATGACATTAATTATTTTGCTACTTGACATTTAACCATGATTATAATAACAAACATTTTAATTTTATATAGCTTGGTTTGTAGGGGTTAATTTTGTTTCTTACGAGTTGATCACGGATTGATATCAGTTATAGGAACCATTGAAAACCAGCCACAGGGAGTACTGGATAGCCAGCTGTTTCATCCTAGTTTGGGAGTCACCGATAGTACGCACCCACTGGGGTTCGAACCTATGTCTTTCCGGCTACAAATCAAGCTAGCTCGTATACCACTCAACAGTCACTGGGAACCGATTCAATAGCCAGGCATCCAGCCCATGAATTCTAACTTCTGCTTATTCATGATTTAGCGTGACCCCAACCATTATCGTCGGTGGGACATCTATCCTCACACACGTGACACCTGGATGCACCTCACTGGTTACGACTTCTCACTAGAACTTACTCCAGGAAACTCCATCCTGTAGCAAGTCAGTCACTAGCGAGCATCAGATTAATTTTCTATAGTTTGGTTTGTAAGGGTTAGTTATGTTTTTACCAGTTGACCACGGATTGATATCATTTCATACTATTATTATTTTATGCATTCACATCTATGATTCAATTCCCTCAACGGACCATATATATATGTGATTGTACAAGTTGATAATAAATTCGTTGTTGAGAAAAGTCTCTTCACTGAGTATTGTGTTTTTGAGATATCATATGTATCATACCACCACCATATGACAAGATTGTCATAAAGGCAAGCAACACAGAGGTGGATAAGAAATATTAGTGACTATGTAGAAAAATCGATGGTGTGGCAACGGCGTCACCACTAGGATCCATTCTAGCCTAAACTTTCCTTGCGAAACTAGAAAATGGGCCTTTGAAGGATGTTATTAATGAGCTAGAATTTTATTGTCGGTACATCGATGATACACATTTTTGATTATGAAAAATGAGAAGGAAGCAAAAGCCATCCTGGATAAATTTAACGAGGTTCATCCTGCAATAAATTCTACTATTCAGAAAGAAAAAGACTATAGTATTTCATTTCTAGATGTCCTTATGACCAGAAAAGAGGATGGTACACATAAGAAGAAGAAGTGTATATAGAAAATCAACATCAACGGGTCACTATACTCATTTTCTCAGCTCTGTTTGTTCCCTTGAAATACAAACACAATCTGATAAAGTACCAGGTCCACAGAGCAAGAGTATGTCTTGATGAGGAACTTAATAATTTTGAGCGGTTGATGAGTGAAAACGGTTATCCAGAAAAGTTTATTGATAAGAATATGCATCTAAAATCAAAGAAGTCCAAGGTAACAACAGTTCCAAAAAAGGCCTTATTCTTATAAATGCAGTTCCTTTGGGGACAACATCAGTGAGATACTAACACAGCGCGGTGAAATGCGGTAAAAGTTGCATTCCCTGCCACCGAATTACGCTGTGTCTTCAAAACCACTCAACACTATTTTGCGTTTGGGAGTTAAAGATAAACTGCTTAATTTCGCCTCTTCCATGTGTATCTACCAATGGAACTGCTCCTGTGGCGTGAGCCAGTTAGTTGCATAGGCCGTACAATTAGGCGTATTTCTCTTCTCGGATTTCTGAACATCATCCTGCATAGTGGTTTGTTAAGTTAGGGACAAACAAAATCCATTCACATAGCGCCATTCTATCTCATCTTGTGGATGCAGAACACAAGATTCATGTCAACGAGGCAGCTTTCAGAGTCATTTGCGGCATACGAAAAAAAGTCTTAACTTCGCCCTTAGAGTTCGTCCACTAAAGAAGCCTAATGTATGCGTCCAAATGAAGTTAGTTCAGACATTATCCTTACCTTGGCCATCTAGGTGTGAATGATCCTCATTTGGTTGTGAAATTTCCTTAATTTTATTTGATAGTCTGTTTACTATTATATGTTTATTATTATTACTATTATTATTATTATTATTATTATTATTATTATTATTATAATTTAAGCATCTCGAATGAACTGTAATTCCATTGATCTTACTTAACAAATCGATATTATTTAACAGACACTAATATTGTTATTGACTATTAATCTAGAATATTCTATGTATATAATAAACACACATGTATATTAATTATAGAGCCAGAAGAGGAGGAAATTATCGAAAAGGATATTCTTTGCTCGCTCAATTATTTTGTGTTTTCTAGATGTCTGAATGAATATTTTTAGCTATATTCCTCACTTGTCATATTTTAAAAAAAAAGTCAATTCGGTCAACAATAATTTAATTACCAAATCCGTTTTTTTCTTTTTTGTATTAGGCATCACGACTGAAATCAGATAATAATCAATGTCATATTCCACCGGTTACATCGACTTTATCATCCCCATTTCTACTAAATCAATTGTCAGTATCATCGTCGCCAGTGTTGTCTTTATCCTCTTCAACGATATCGTCGTCCTCATCATCATCATCCTCTTGGTCAACAACACAACGTGGACAAACAAAATCTGGTTTCAGACGTCCAATACCACAACCGTTACAATTAGTCAATGAGATTAATTATCAACCACAACTTGGTCTTAGTAGTCAATATTCACCGATTACACCAGCACCGATGAATATGTCAATGCATACAATGACGATGATGACAGACGATGAGACGACGACGACGACGAAGACGACTACATCATCAACGATAACAACAACAACAGCATTGACGAAATCGCTGACAACAACAGCGACGTCGACGACTAATACTACTATGAATTTTGAATGTAATCTTTTCCAAAATATCCAGAATAATGAAGGATATCATCATCGAGTTGATAATGTAGTTGTCGAAGAGCGTAATGATACCAACAAGTTTTCAATGTGTTGTTTTGATACTAATCGGTTAGATTTATCACAATTTCAAGATTCTTTATTATTCAATTCAATCTATAGTAATAACAATAATAATAGTAATAGTAATGTCAGTGTATCTACTACTGTTCCTGCTCATATTAATAATCCTGGTGGTATTAACACTTGTAAGGCATCCTCCTCCTCCGCCACTTGTGTCGGTGCACAGGATAAAACTATAGACAACAATAATAATAATAATATTATAAATATGAATAATATAATGTTTATAAAGCCTAATAATAGCACTACTTATAATGATACTGATAATAACAATTGTAATTTATCCTATACTGTGAGTGATCGTTTAATGAATTTATCACAGAAAAGAACAAGCGTTAGTAATAATAATAATAATAATACTTTACTAAGATTTCACCACCATCAACAGCAACACCAACAACAGATGTCTGCTCCTGCTCCACTGTCGTCTTCTCATCACCCTCATCATCAACAACAATCTCAACAGCAACACGAAGTCCAGAGTGGTAATAACATTATCTGTGATGAAGAACAAGGTGATTGTTCAACGTGTTGTTGTCGGCCTACATCATTTAGTTTTATAAATTCATTTGATGAATGCACTACACAGCAACAACAACAACCAGCACTTCTTCGTCAAAATCAGCAAACAGATCGTCAACTACTTTATCATAGGCAACAGTTGCATAATCATTCACAGAATCAACAACATCAACAAAATGTATGTTCTAATATTTCTACAATGCAGAGTTTACAATCAAGTAAGTTGGCGGGTGTACTACTACTTTGCGTGTTCTGCTCTCTTTTTTTTCAATTATACATTTTTGTAATATTCTGTAGCTGTAGCTTTGATTGATTTATGTGGAGGTGAGGTGTGGTTCACAGTAGCCCTACCCTACCCCGCCACGAGTTTGAACTGGGCAGTGTCAACAGCCCGATAGCCACCTTGGGGCACGAATGATTTATTCGGGGAATTGGGTATTATTATGTACTCGTCGCCAAATTATTGTTATGTACTGGTCGAGAATTTAATAGTCCTGACGCAAGAAAGACGTAAATCAGAAGACCACTAGGTTTGCGATGATACTTCTATTTTCCAAACACAAAGAGAATGCAAAAGTGGTATCACACCAAAAAGTGTCACACAAGATTGTGAGAGCGAAATATATATGAATGTCCAGACAAGTGTGTGAAAAAAACCAATAGACAGTCTTAACATGAATGGCTAATTATAATGAAGTATCGATCCATATATAGAAAAACTAACCCTTACAAACCAAAACTGTAGAGAATATCATATACCCAACAACCAAAAATCACTTTATGCTAAATATTGCGCTGAAGGGGGATGTTGTCCAGTAGGGAGATGACGAAAGCTCCGCAACTAAACCAACCAGCTCAGAGAGCACTATTAATTGCAAATTAATTGTGGAATGTTAATTCAGATACTGTAATTCTTCCCTTCAAGATCAGATTATAAACGTTCTCTATCTGAGAACAGTTGTAATGACTAATTTTTTCTACCAATATAACGTACTTGGATATTGAGAATACTACATACTTGTCATTCCGTTCGTCTTGTTTCCTATATTTCTTTACAGAAGATTTTTGGTTACAATAACAGCACTGCAACGCTTAGTTTTCTACTGGAGGTTTCACATTTCAAAGTTTTCAGCTAAAAACTAAGACATTGGTGATATTCATGATCCTTATGTTATTCATACACAGAATTCCATTTAATTCACAAACTTACACAGACAATTGTCGAATAAATTCGAGCTGTAGATTCAAGAATCGTATGATACTGTTGGTATTTGTGATGGTTGGAGGCAATCGTCCACAGGAAGCCTTGCTTCACCTAAGTTTCGTGCCAGTTGGCACTCCTCAGCAAGGCCTATCTGCAACCTTGAAGGAACTCATATCCGTCCTTCTGAGATTCGAACCCACGTCACCTACCCAGTGAGTGCTGCGGTCAGGTATGTTACCGCTGAGGAGCTATCTGGGCTCGCGGTTGACCTCTTGTAGGACTGTATTGGGTATTTTTAGTCAGTAACTAGTGTAATGTATCTAGCCCATTCTTTGGTACAAACTGAATTCCATCAGTCACATTTGCAATATTGCTACCATTCTAGATGGCTCGCTAACCATCTAATCACCGAGAATTCACGGTGTATCGTGATGGCGAGCCACCCACTGGCTTATTAGTAGCCACATTGCAAACTTGATCGATGGAATTCAATCTGTACCGAAGATAGGACTAGGCACACACACACACACATTACACTAATGTCTAATCAGAAATCGAATAATATAACACTTAGATTGTAGTATAAATTCGGTTGATTAGGTATTATGTATGACCGTAAATTGTTATGACAGGCAGGACTCTGACTGAAATTAACCAACAACAGAGCAACATTAAGAAGGTGGAGAACGTAATGGTGAAGTAACTTGTTTGGGATCAGCATAATATTAGCACTGAAGATGTTTTCTCGAAGGACAATGAAACGTCAATTAAAACATGTAGCCCAGAAAACACAACTAAACTAATATCATCCCTATGAGCTACTAGGTTTTTCCATGATTTTTGAGATCTGTCTTTGTTTCTGCATGGCGCCGATTTTGGGTTTTTTCTTCTTTGTTGTGTTAATGTTTAGTTTAATTTTAATTTTTGATTATAGCTTGAAACCACACAATATTTTTGGTACAAGTATGGAATTTTCAGTATATGATATCGGTAGCCCAAATATTGCAGGCCGACCATAGATATCAGGTGTGCATCGGTAGGGGATCGAACTCCAGACCATTTGCATGGTCGACGAGAGTCCTAATCACTGTGCTGCGGACGCACAGGAGAATGTCGCTGCCAGGAGGCTGCGAGAGTTGAGAGGTGCATGCGATTTTTTCATTTGATCTGCTGCGACTTTAACAAACTGTTCGAGTCTATTTATCTTTATTTGAATTGTATTATTATTACTATTATTTTATTCCTTTACGTTCCCAGTGGAACATAGGGCTTCAATCTAAATTTGTGAAGTTTCGGTAGCAGTAGTATTTATTTTCACGGGATGGGGTTACTAGCCTCATGTCCAACCTTCTCCCTTTACTAGTCATATTACTGGCTTAGAGAGGTAAAAGAGTGCGTTGCTGGCTGGGAATCGAACCCCTGACCACCAGCGTGGTTGACAAGCATCATATTTGTTTACTGTGTGTAAAAGAGTTTTACACAGACTTTGAAGCTAAACCCCATTAACAAAATTTTCCTGCATTCCCACTTACATAGAACCCCAGTGGATGGGTACCTCATCTTGAACATATAACATCTGGTATCAATGCACTATCTGGAATATGAACCCCTCATGCTAGAGATTTGCTTAACACTCCTCGGAAAGATTGATATCATCACGATTTCCTACTGTTAGGCTTAAACGTCTCTCAAGAGTCACTTCTCAGAAGCCTCGAAGTTGCGGGTAATGACAGCTCTCACAGGGCATCCCACACCGCGGGATGTATATGACCAATCTGTTATTGAATGGAAATTGCTAAAGGAGTATGATATAACTACCTCCAATGGGGGGGGATGACGTTACTCATCGCGGTGACTACTTAGCGTAAGCGTCAGCTGATGCGCGGTGACCGACGGCAACGCACGTAGAATTGTAACTATTCTCCACCCGAATACACGAATGCTTCACTTTCGTAGGCAACCGATCATATACACCCCTATATGAATACATCAATATATATAAAAGTGATTGTTCATTGTATATAATCTAAACTGAATGTTGTGTCAACTACTACTAATCTCTTGTTTCTTCCTTAAATTGTTCTATTCTAGGCAACAACAATTCAACGAAACAATCGAAATTTGGCGGGAACAATAATAGTAGTAGTAGTAGTAGTGGTAAAAATATACGGTCAGATCAGTCGATGCTAAATTCACCTACAAATTCACCGCATTCACGTGTCTCAATTAACGATGATAACAATAATACCAATAATAATAATAATAACAATATGGATATTTCAGATAATGATGAAGTGATTGTTACCGATGAATATGATTTATCCAATCAGAAAGCGACTACTACAATGATGCCGATGACAACGACAATGACAACGGCCACAGCCACAGCGGCAGTTGCAGCTGCAGCAGCACTACTCAGCGGTAGTAGTAGTAGTAGTAATAATAATAATAACACTACAAATAATAATAATAATCATAATTCCAATCATCTTGTTAAAATTAATAATTTCACATTGAATCCAATTGAAGTAGCCAATGCAGCTAAGGTGGCGCTGTTAATGGCGCATCCATTAGAAGAACCAAAACGTGTTGCTTGTGCTGTTTGTCAAAAACGCTTTAAAAATCAATCTGCTTTAAATGGACATATGCGTTTACACGGAGGTTATGGTCCAGCTGGTTTAAGCGGTGCATTGTCAACAGCGACGACTCAGACGCCGACGACAACAACAACAACAACAACGACAACATGTAGCAGTGGGAGTAACAGCAGTTCAGCGGCAGTTGTATCATCACAATCCAATCTATTTTTTAATAGTAGTAGTAGTAGTAGTAGTAGTAAAAGTAGTAAATGTAGGATCACAGATCCTGATTCACACCCAATAACCTGTGATAATGGTAACACTCTTAATACATCAACTAGTACTGCTAGTACAACGAATACTAATAATAATCACAACACCGCTTCGAACACGTTGAAAGCATTCAAGTTACAGTCAAATACACCTATGGTAAGTATATATATATATTTGTCATTCTAATTATTTTACAATTGAACAGACTTATTGACTAACTGACTGACTGGTTTCAGCATAGAACTTTGCACCAAAGTACAGCTGTTCGGGTCGCTACACTTCACTTCTCATACAAAACAGGAGGCGAAAGTAAAAAGATATGCAAAATAGAGACAGTAAACAGAGAGATATGTGGCAAAAAGAAATAGTAATATCGAAGAATCACATAGTTTTATTGGGTGTTATAAGTCACAAGAAGTGGAGTGGAGTGCCTCTGCACCAGCCATTGATAATGGGGATTTTGAGCCATATCACCAATTTACATATTAATATATGTGTAAAACACTTGATCATTGTGGTAGTAAGAATTCTTAACAAGGTAGGCAGGAATAAAAGTGGCTGGAATTCAAACCACTCACAGACTCAGTTAGAAATATGCTTTGTCGGCTAGAGGATCAATCCTGACACTGGAGCCTTTAAAACAAAACAATTCAGTTTATCTAATACCCTGCCTGTGACGATTGTCAGGTCGAATACATAGGTCAAAGTAATAGAACAGGGGAAGTCAGTCAGACTAGTCGAGTATAAAAACCTAGCAGCAAAATCTAGATTAGTTGACCCGAATAAGATAAAAAATCTAGAGAAAATAGTTCAGCGATAGCACTCACTACATGCAATTACACACAACCATATAATACACTGGATGGGATAGGACGACATTTTTAAAATCTAATGCTGTGGCAGGATGGAGTGAGGGAGAGATTGATAACAGAAGCTTTGTTTATCGAATCAACCAACTACAAATACATGTAATAGGAATGATTCAACACCTGTCCAGCTGGATAGCTGGAAAATTCTCCTAGCCAACGACGATAAATAGGAGAGGACAAAGAAAACTACAAAACTCAAGTTTCGAAGTCGTGTGATTATAATTGATATGATTATGAAAATTATATCACACACACACACAGACTGTGCGATACATCTAATAAACAAACCAATATAGAATCACCACTTTACAGACTACAGCCTTCATTAATTTTCACTATCTCGAATACCCCAACCAGGCAGTCGACACCTTCCTACGTGGCTGGTTGGCTTTAACTAATTGTTGTGGATTGTACTGACTGATGAAGTCATGTTTTTGTTTGACCGCCACTGGCTAGCTCTTTTCCAACCAACGTGAAATTATTCGTCGACGGAACGACTTAATAGAGTTTTAGACAGCTTTTTCTTCTTTTAAAATGACTATCGATGGAAGATGGGATGAAACAGCTGTCCAGTTCTCCCAGGTTTTCCAGTGGTTCTCTTATCAATGTCAGCTCATGATGAAATCCAAAAACATTAACGGTGTTTTAAATAACATCGAATCAATAATAATAATAATACCAATAGATTACAGTTCAATATCATCAACATAACAATAAACTGAATATCAGAAAAATTAGGAAAGATAATATTACAAATTCATAAATTTATAGTCTCTACTGAAGGCCGGCCAGGGTAGTGTGGTAGTGGCTGGACTTGCTTCTTTCGACCACAGAGTACTGGTTGTTTGAGGCGAATTGCAACAGCCTCTTTTACTTTACTTTACTTCGGCTGTCTCCTACGGGAGGATGAGCCGGCTTCATGAACCATGAAGTTTCATGGGAATTGGGTACGAGTGATGTCCCCAGCATCGCTCGGCCTTTGTTTGAGAGTGCAGCTCTAGCCTTTACACAACCAAGTGTGACCTACAAGGCAGTAGGAATGGAGTAGGGAGTCCACTATCCATTGACAGCCGGTGACCGGAGTTCGGTTCATTCGCCTTTTTGAATGGGGCCAGTCATCTAGGGGATCCAATAAGCCCTTTGTCCATACGTCTGCCGGTGAGCTTCATACGCCAGTCGTTGGAGGTTTGGAATCAGGGTTTAGCCATCTCCCCTAGACTGTCATCCAATGGCCAGTCAACCCGGTGAAGAGCGCCGGGCATCCGCTTTTGCCCTCTCACTTCGGTGAAAAACACCGCCACGTGAAGGCAGTGATTAGGACTTCTTCAGGAGAGGCTATGTAAGACGCCCGGTCATATGGGAGCATTTCAAGAGGTGTACGGAGGGGTGGCCAGCCCGCAGCGCAAGACACCCACCCCCGACCATCCTGAGGCTTTGGAAACAGCCTCTTTTGTTTGTAGCATGCGGTTCTTCGATGTTTTCGGCAATTTATTAGGCACCTGGTAGGTGACAGAGGAGGATTCGTCAATGCTGGCTACCTTTGTGGCCGATTCAGACCAGACGGTCCAATATTGAATTGTTGATGTTTTTACTACACCTTTACTAAGCCATAGTGGGAGATGTTCTCGAGCGAGCACGAAAAATCAAGTTACTAGAGCAACAACGGCCGATATAACTCGCTCCATTAGCGCAGTTGAATTGCTAGATACAATTAGAAGTGGCTAGTCTAGGTACTTCATGTTTCACTTAGAGGAATCACCAATGGTCGTGTAGAAAACGTGACTTGTAGCTTACCAGCTTTCAAGTTCTTTGAACTGATTTTCTTAATTTCTTCGTAATTATTTCACTTGGTATATATCGGCCTTTGAATTATAGTCGTATATAAAGAGGCTTCTTGTTAGCAGATCGTGAGTTGTCTTTTTTCGCTTTCTTTGTCATGTGTTTCTTGATAAATTTGTCGGGATAGCTGTTTTCAATCAAGGTATCATATACAATGCTCAATTCATTTTCAATTGCTTCTTCTGAGCATGTAGCTCTCACCCCTGTAGCTGAAGGTCTTTACTAAATTTTATTTGTACTGGAGAGGAACGAAGCTGTGAAAATTTGTATATTATCCTGTCCATGTACTTTTCCTATGCAAATTTCTTTGTATGCTACCATCTGGTTTTATTATTATTATTATTAATGAACAACATTCGGATTTGCAGCACCTGTGTCAGGTTAGTTCGTCTATATAGGTCAGAAACTTGCTCTATGAGTCATAAAAAGCATCTTCAACTGCCTACAGGATTAAGTCCATGAGTACATCTTTGATAAAATCCAACAGATATGGGTACAGTGAGCATCTCTGATGAACAGCATTGGTCGTCATCACTTCAGATGACAACTCTCGGTAGTCTTTCACGCGGCTGCATGAGTTCCAGCGATCAGTGCGAAGTATTTCGTCTGCATTCCCTTCACAACGAAAAACACAGTTTTTGTTCAGCAAAGAAATATCTCTTTTGAACGAATTTCATTTCCAAGCTGCACGTGTATGCGTTTTCACCTCCTATGTAGATCACTTCCGTCCAGATGGGAACATAAAGTCTCTTCCATAGGCAGCTAGTATGAGTGAAGATCATCGTGTCGTGAAGTTACCTGTTATTCTTTTGCACATCAATATACTTGCTGATCAAAGTGACATTTCCATGGCTCATTTGTGAAGGCTTCTTGTCACTCTGATCTAAATTTATTGTATTAACCTCATTAATTCCATACAAATCGTATTCGACGAATGGTAACACCAGACAACTCTTTAGGCGTATTAGAGGAACAGGTGGTAAAAGGCAAATGATAAGTGGAACAATCTCGGAGAAAAATGTCCCCATAATTAGCTCCCATGATAGACGACTGGAACGCTGGAAAGAACAATTGGCGATGCTGTTTAATTGGACTACATCCACGCTCAACTTATCGAATATCGAACACCTCCTTGAATGGAATATAGACACAGATCCTCCGTCCCTAACTGGGGATACTAAGGCTATCACTAATCTGAGACTAAGCAAAGCAGTAGGAACTTATGGAATAACTCCAGAGGTATTTAAGTACGGTGGAGACAGTTTACTGTCTGCGTTAACTGTGGTAATAGGCAGCGTCTGGGAACCAGAGGAAGTCCTTTCGGGTTGGTGTAAGTCATTGATTATATCGATGTACAAGAAGGGAGACAAGTCTTCCTGTAATAATCACAGGGGATTTTTATTCTTATTATTGTTCATTTTTTTATTACAGCTTGATTCCACACCGTATTTTTGGTACATGTATGGAATTTTCAGCATGTAATATCGGTATCCCAAATTTTGCAGGCCGACCATAGATATCAGGTGTGCGTCGGCAGGTGATCGAATCCCGAACCATGTGCATAGTCGGCGACAGTCGTAACCACTGTGCCACCGACGCACGCTTGACTAATATGATATCTAAAGTTCTAGGCTCAATAATATTGCGTAGACTAAGTGGTGCTCGGAAAGAACACTCTCGAGTCAGACTATGGACCTAGAATAGGGTGTATTGATCATATCTTCACCCATCGTCAGATTCTGGAACATAGGCGTACTTACCGGCGGCGTCCAACAATCGTTATATTTCTTGACCTAAAGGCGGAATTCAGTTCTGTCGACCGAGAGGTACTACAGCTATGTTTGGCTGTGAAGGGAATGCCCAGAAAATACATTACACTAATCAAGGCACTCATTCTACTCGAACTCATACAGTCAGCCAGGTGAGACATTACAGCGGGTCGTCATCTGAAGTGGTGTCCGACATGGATGGCCACTTTCCCCATTTCTATTCATATCACCATACATAGATGTACTAATGAAATTAAACGTAAATGCTGACTTCAGCGACTCGGGGATTGATTTGTTACCATCAGGGAATAATCTCATCGACTTAGAATATACAGATGATATAGTCCTGCCAGGTGAAGACGATGACAAATGCAGAGTCTTTTGAAAGCCTTGAGCTGCAATCTGAGAATGTTCGGCATGCGATTTGCTCCCGCCAAATATAAGATGATGTTACAGGACTGGACTACATTGACCCACTCCTAGCTTAGAAATAAGGAGTGAAGTATTGACTGAGGGTGTTGACCACTTCACTTATTTGGGAAGTCGCATCAGCCACTTTATGCCGTCTCTGGCTTACTAGACGTGATATCTGGCTGACTATTGACCAAAGGACGTGTGTGTCTACTGCTCAGCAGTTCGCTGAGAGTATGGAAGACATGAGAAGGATGGCTAGCTGTCTTTGATCATAGGTGCCTGCATTCTATCTCCTGTGTGAAGTGGTATAATCGGGTGAGCAATATTGAGGTTAGGCGACTGTCGAGTGCTGGGTAAGGAGGGAGGGGGAAATCAATCGATGAGGCTGTAAAGTTACATTGATTGAAATGGTTAGAACCTGTGTTTACATATGCCTGCCTAGCCATCGCTTCCTTGACAACAGGTAATGTTAGCTGACTGATATAGGATCAGGTTGGAAAAGAGCTAAACCTAGCGGCAGTCAAAACAAAACATGGCTTCATCAGTCATTAAGATCCACAACAATTAGTTCAAGCCAGTCAGCCACGTGCGTCGGTGCATAGCGGTTAGGATGCTCGCCGACTATGCACATGGTCCGGGGTTCGATCCCCGGCCGACGCACTCCTTTACTTCACTAAGCCAGTAGTGAGACTGGTAAAGAGAAAAGGTTGGGCATGAGGCTAGCAACCCCATCCTGTAAAATAAAACACTGCTACAGAATCTTCAAGCCACTGGCTTGAAGCCCTATGTTCCACTGGGGAACGTGAAGGAAAAAAAAGTCAGCCACGTGGGAAGGTGTCGACTGCCTGTCTGGCTGGTTGGTGTCTTCGGGATGGTGAAAACTATTGAAGGCTTGAGACTGTAAATTGGTGATATGGCTCAAAATCCCCATTATCAATGGCTGGCGCAGAGACACTCCACTCCTTGTGACTTATAGCACCCAATAGAACTATATGACTGTTCGATATTACTATTCTTTTTGTCTCATATGCCTGTCTGCTGTCTCTATTATGCATTTCTTCTCCTGCTTTGTATGAGAAGTGAGTGTAGCGACCGAACAGCTGTACTTTGTGCAAATTTCTATGCTGAAACCAGTCAGTCATCATTCAGTCATACAAATCGTATCATGGTGTTGTATGCACGGTTCAACCTTCGTATTCTATTTGATATAGACAGAGGAGTGTATGTTGTTTGTAATTTGTCTTCCTAATTGACAGTGGAATACTAAAACCTGCCATGTTGTTATGATAACCTGACGTCTTAAGTCATTTTGTTTACTCATAATCACTACTTACAGCAATATATATGACATTTGTTCGAATTGAGTAAAGTGACATTTATTTAACGCAGTTGTGAATATTTGACTATTATTTCAATGTGGATTTTGTCAATAATCAAGATCATCTAAGAGAAGTATTACAAGAAACAAGTGAGCATTTGCAGACTGTTTTGTTGTCTCTCCGCCCCCTCCCCCCCCACCATCCCACTTCTGGAAATGTGACATTTCCGTGGGATAGAACTTACAATGTCGAAAAAGGATAAAATCATCCGTCTATATGACCAATTGGGATCTGATTACTCTTGTTCTCTCTAAAATCCTGTAGATTCACACTTCAGTTCATCATCACTGTGTAATGGTCGTTGGGTATACAGTTTAAGTGGTAAAATCTCACAGTGTGTTTATACAATAATATATTTACTGATGACCTTTGAAGCAGAAATTATCGCTCATACATAATCATATCAAGACACTCACTCACACAACTTTATGCTTCATATATATATACATGAGTAAAAACTGGTTAGACAATTGAGTAAAATCAATATAAGATAACGTGCATTCAGAAATAAGAATGTGAGTGTTATCAATAAAATACAATAAGATGGGTAATAAGACGAGTGTTTTTATAGTTAAAATAAGTAACTTATCCCACGACAAAATAGGGTGGTTGGGACAGAGTTAAAATTCTACAAAGTAATACAGCTAGGTGGAGATAGAGAGGGGACTGATTAATGAATCTTGATTAATTGAGTCTACACTCAACACCATGCCACTGAAGTGACTCAAAGAAAATACCAGAAATATAGAAGATGCTAATTTTTTTCCCTTTACTCGTGTATATAAACGAAGCAAAAAAGCTATGTGAGTAGTACCTTGACGTGGTTGGTGATTATGAACAGTAATAAACTGTGCTCGAAACGTGGTCATCAGTAAATATTACTTACTGTAGAACAACACTGTGTGATTTATCAAAATAAAACTGTATCCATCACAGTACACAAGTTTTATCCATATATCACACTAATACATAAGGTCACATAAAGCCACTTCTCAAGTTTTATTGATGATTTTGCGATGTGTATTCGATTTTCAAGTATTGGTTTTGTAGGGATTATGTTTGATTGCATGGCGGATTTCATCATGAGCTGACATCTGTTAGGGAACCACTGGAAAATCTGGGAGTATTCAACAGCTGTTTCGTCCTGGTTTGGGAATCTTCATCAGTACGCACCCCACTGACCGCAGGAGGAGGTTCGAACCCAGGACCTTCTGGTTACAAGGCGGGCGAGCTCGTAGACCATTGAGCCACTGGGACCCGATCCAGTGGTCCTTGAATTCGCAAGAAGACATTGCGAAATGGTCGCGCCATGTCGTGAATTGACAGAAGTTAGAATACTAGGATCATTGTTATTTTATTTTTTGATTACAGCTTGATTCCACACAGTACTGTTTGGTAAAAGTATGGAATTTTCAGCATGTAATATCGGTAGCCCAAATTTTACAGGCCAACCATAGATATCAGGTGTGCGTAGGCAGGGGATCGAATCCCGGACCATGTGCATGGTGGTCGGCGATAGTCTAAACCGCTGTGCCACCGACGCATCGAGTCCCAGTGCCTCAATGGTCTACGAGCTCACCTTGTAACCAGAAGGTCCTGGGTTCGGACCTCCTTGTGTGGTGGGGTGCGTACTGATGAAGAGTCCCAAACTAGGACGGGGAAACAGCTGTCCACTTCTCCCAGGTTTCCTAGTGGTTGTCTAACTGATGTCAGCTCGTGATGAAATCCTCCGTGTATTCAACTGTCGATACTTGGCGCATTGGGATTATTAGACGCTTCACCGTCGCCAGTTTTGAAACCTTATCCAGTCTATTCTCACCTGTCGAATTCGATAGTGTTATAAGCATCTGACTGTTTTTGTACCGTATAAATTATTTATTGTAATATACTTATTTTATCATAAAAGTAACAGTTGAACACCATCACCACCACCAGCACCTCATTATGTAACGCAAAAAAGGTATTGCTTGTCATTATTCTCTTATATACTAAGTAGTTACTCTCGTGTTTTTCCTATGTGTTAGTTTATATTCGTTTTATTTGTTAACTATTTCAATGCATACCTCTATGCAATTACCATTATTATTATTAATATTATTATTATTATTAGTAGTAGTAGTAGCAGTAGAAGTAGTATTACTATAACTCTGAATACCTTGAGCTGCAATCTACGAATGTTTAGCATGCGATTCGCTCCCGCCAAATGTGAGATAATGTTACAGGACTGGACTACACTGACTCCTAGTTTAGAAATAGACAGTGAAGTGGTAGAGCACGTTGACCGCTTCACTTATTTGGGAAGTTGCATCACCCGGTTCCAACGGGTTGATCTCTGAAGAAATCACAAGACGGATACAGAGGGTTAGTCTCGCATATGCCAGTTTACGCCGTCTGTGGCGTAATCGTGATATCTAGCCGGTTATCGACCAAAAGGCGGGTGTACTGCTCAACAGTCCTGAGGTGGTTAGGATATGTATTACGCATGCATGCCTAGCCATCACCTTACTCGACAACAAGCATGTTAGCTGACTGACATAGGGTCAGGCTGGAAAAGAGCTAGCAGTGGTCAAATCAAAACATGGCTTCATCAGTCAATGACATCTACAACAGTTAGTTAAAGCCAGTCATGTAAGGAGGTGTAGACTTCCTGACTGGCTGGTCAGGGTCCTCAGGACGGTAAAAACCAATGAAGGTGGAAACAATTGGTGATATGGCTCAAAATCCTCGTTCTCAACGGCTAGCGGAGATGCATCCACTCCTTGTGACTTATGATTTCCAATGAAACTATATTGTTCTTCGTTATTACTATTCTTTTTGTCTCATATCCCTGTCTGCTGTCTCTATTATGCATTTCTTCTTCTATTTTCTTCTATTTCTTTGTGTGATACAAGAAGGGAGTGTGGCGACTTGAACTGGTGCACATTGGTGCAAAGTTCTATGTCGAAAACAGACAGACAGATTACTATTATTATTATTATTATTATTATAACGGTTATTGTTTTTTATTATTATTATCTTTTGAAGGTTTTTCAAACCAGTTTTGAATCAATCTCATCATCGGGTAATTCTTCTTCTCCACCTTGTCATCCTGTTGTTACTACCGCTACTGGAGGCGGTGGTTTAGCACTTTCTGTAAGTTTATCAAAAGTACCACCATCAACAACAACAACAACATCAAGGAGTTATAACAGCGATAGTTTGTCTAATCCCATATTTAACCCAATTCATTCCACTAGTCAAAGACAGCGAAATACCTGGTCATATTCAACTGGTAATAAACAGGCTTTAGATCCATTGTTTAACAATACAGCATTACAGCATCATAATAATAGTAGTGATGGCAACAACAACAACAACCATAACATTGACGATGAGGATGGTGATGCTAATGACGATGCAATAAATCGGCAACATAAATCACAATTTTCATTTACAAATCATCAAATCAATAATTTATCCAATGAAACTCAACAACCTCTGCCTTCAATACATGATAGTTGGTTATCACAGCATTTTAATTCATCTATGCAATCGATTCATTCTACTTTGAATCCTCCTACTCATCACCAACATCAACACCACACCAACAACAACAACAGCCACAAGTACAACACAGTCATATTAATTTATCCCAATTTGATGATATTGTTGATATTACTATGAAAAAGGATGATAATAATAATCATAATGATAGTAATATGAGTAAACATAATTATAACAGTCTACCATCTCGACATCATACTTTATTAGATGAATCTATGCTGAAATACAATTCGTGTTTTTCGTCTTTATATTCATCTACAACAATGACGATAAATAATAATGCTATGTCGGTTGCCTCGTCTACACCAACATCGTCTGACAGTAATAATAATACACTGACCAGTTCTGCTGCTGCTGCCGCCGCCGCTACTAATACTGCCACTACTTCTGCGACAACATCATCTCATTGTGATCAATATCCTACAGTGGTTACACCGCCACCAACATCATCCGCATCATTATCATTATCATCAATCTTATTAGATAAACAGGATATGCCATCATTAAGAAATACTAGTTTAGCATCGATTCAATGTCTATCCAATCGATTTATTGATTCACAAAAATCAGAGCTACTCGGTGCAATAGATAATGATAATGATAATCATGATTGGTGGCATTCAGAGGTGGTAGTGAATTCTACTTGTCCAATGAATACAAACTCGCTTGACGATATAATGATGTCATCAAACAATAATAGTAATAATAATAATAAGATAATGACAAATTTTCAATTGATAAATCCTTCTGATCATCAGAAAAATATGCTGTCGATTCCTCCAAATATTCACCTGGTAAGTTGAAGTTATATTTGGTAGCTGTTGGTAGTACTGTTGTTGTTGTTGTTGTTGGCGGTTCTTTTTGTGCCAATAGGATGACGCATACTGAAACGTGACTTTATTTTCTAAGGTTAGTTTTGTTTTTAATTGGGGTCGCGCTAGATCACGAATTGTGTTAGAAGTTAGAATTTATACACTGGCCATTGAATTGAGTCCCAGTGGTTGTTGAATAGTATACGAGCTTGCCTTATAACCGGAAGGTCCTGGGTTGAAATTCCAGTGGGTGAGTACTTCTGATGATTCTCAAACTAGGATAAAACAGCTGTCCAGTACTCCGTGTGGCTGGTTTTCAATGGTTCTCTAACTAATATCAATCTGTAAATAACATTATATATATATATATATATATATATATATAATAGGATCATCAATATCCCTAATAGTATTGGGTGAGGTGATGAAGATTCCTAGCCAACATCAACAGCAACAAAAACAGACAACAATCAGCTAGAATAAATGGGAGGAACCTGAAAGAAACAGCCTCCTTCACCTACCTGGGAAGCATCGTTTCAACTACAGGCGGACGGAACTGACGAGGATATCAAAGCAAGAATCAATGGGAAAAGCAAGACAAGCTTTCATTACTCTCAAATCTGTGTGGAGGTCGACAGCACCCACCATCAAAAATAAGATCCGGATTTTCAACTCCAATGTAAAGTAAGTCAGTGCTACTCACTATACGGATCAGAGACTTGACATTGCGTCATAAAGAGCATCTCAAACAAACTTCAGACCTTCATTAACAGTTGTTTTCGCTCAATACTTTGCTCAAGATCAGATGGCCAGTCAGAAAAGATCACCAACAGGGATCTCTGGCAATGAGCGAACCAATCCAGCAAGAACCGATTGTGAAACAAATAGGGAGGAAGAAATGGAGGTATGGATTGGCTGGCCATACTCTGAGGAAAGACGCCATCAAGTAACATCACTAGACAAGCCATCACTCGAGTGGAACCAGGCCGAAAGGGAAGCGGCGAGTTGGTCGTCAGTGCGACGGCGGGGTGACTTGGAGGAGGTCATGTGAGGAGGAGATGAAAGCATGTGGACAGACCTGGAGCGGGGTGAAAAAGTTGTCATAAAACAGAAGGCAATGGAGGTGGGCAGCTGAAGTCCTATGTTCCTCTAGGAATCAAAGGATACAATAATAATAATAATAATAATAATAATAATAATAATAATAATAATAATTGGGTGTACTAATGGACACTTGAGAAGATAAAGTTCCTAAGATGTTTAATCCTACTCCACGTACGTTATGGTGGAGATATGTGGATGACACATTCCCTGTGCTGCATATATCCCTCAATATCTTTACGCATATAATAAACTCAGTTATTAGATGAAATCCAATTCACTCCTGGCCTAGAAAATGAACAAACTGAGTTGGTCATTCTAGACTGCATTATAAAACGCAAAACAAGACCTAGACGTTAATTCATCCCATCCAGAACCGGTAAGGATGGGTTCAGTTAAATAGTGTCGGTATAATTGAGTCAAGAGCCTAACTAGTAAACTAGAGGATGTAAAATAATGAAATCAATCAAATAAAGAAATATACTGCTAGTGAATAACACACTACCCACCAGAATTTATTCATAAAAATGGAATTACTTGAGAGCTTGTGGCCAGTTGTCATCCGAACTGATAACAACTATTGGTGTCCGTCAGGGATGCCAACTGTCGCCATTTCTATGCAATTTCATCATACATAGATGTACTCATCAAATTAACCTTTAACGGCTTCAGAGAGTCAGGGATTGACTTATCACCAACAGGGGATAATCTCATTGACTTAGAATATGCAGATGATCTAGTCCTTCTAGGTGAAGACGATGACAAAATGCAGAGTCTTCTGAACACTTTGAGCTGCAATCTACGAATGCTCGGTGTGCAATGAGACTACAGGACTGGACTACACTGACTCCTAGTTTAGAAATAGGGGGTGAAGTGATGGCTGAGAGTGTTGAGCACTACACTTCTTTGGGAAGTTGCATCAACCAACGCTAACGGGTTGATCTTTGATGAAATCTCAGCAAGGATACAGAGGGCTCGTTTCAATTATGCCAGTTTACGTCGTCTCTGATGTAGACGTGATATCAGACCGGCTATTGACCAAGGGACATGTGTAATGCTCAGCAGTCCGCTCCGTCTCCTTTATGCCTGTCGATGAGACATTGCCATTGAGAGTGGTTGACATGAAAAGGCTGCCTACATGTCTCTGATCAATAGGTGCCTGAGTTCTATCTCCCGTGTCAAGTGATATAATAGGGGGAGCAATATTGAGGATAAGGCTTCGATCGAGTGCTTGGTAAAGAGTGGAAGTCAATCAATCGATGAGGCTGCGAAGTGGCATCGATTGAGTGAGATTGCTAGAACATGTGTTACACAAGTGCCTAGCCATCGCTCTTCTCGATGGGAAATGTTGGTTGACATAGAATCAGGTTGTGAAACAGATAATGGTCGTCATACCAAAAACACGGCGTTATCAGTCAATGAATTCCAAAACAGTTAGTTTAAGCCATCCACGTTAAAAAGTGTAGATTTCCTGACTGCTTGGGGTTCTAGGGACGGTAAACACCAATTAATCCTGGAGACAATCTGTGATATGAACTGTAGAACTTGATGAAGGGCAAGTTATCGAAAAGAGTATTTTTTGTTCAGTATCAATTCTTTTGAAAATTTTAATGGGTATTTTCAATCAGTTAAAATCAATAATCCTTAGCTTCAGGAAGTTATTTGTATTATATATATATATATCTTCTGATATTTATTTTTTTGCTTTATCTATTTGATTTTCAAGTGTTGGTTTTGTAGGGATTTGGTTTGATTGTATGGAGGATTTAATCATGAGCTGATATCAGTTAGAGAACCACTGGAAAACCTGGGAGTACTGAACAGCTGTTTCGTCCTAGTTTGGGACTCCTCAGCAGTACGCGCCCACCGGGATTCGAACCCAGGACCTTCTGGTTACAAGGCGGGCGAGCTCGTAGACCATGAGCCACTGGGACCCGATCCAATGGTTCTTGAATTCTAACTTCTGCCAATTCACGACATAGCGCGACCACTTCGCAATGTCTTCTTCGATGAGTTACTGCCTCATCTTCGACCTGCTGTACCCTACTGGTCACGGCTTCCCACTAGAACCCCAGGTTAACTGCCTGAATAGGGCCAGTCTATTTGAGTAGTTTGATTTGTCAGTAATGTTTTCATCTTGAATCTTTTAGAATACATAATCACTGTTATGTATCTCATTAATTTCTTATTATTACTGTTGGTCTGTTCGTTCGTTTGTTTGTTTCTAGTCCTTCTTTTGTGTGTGTGTGTGTGAGTATGTCCATGCATTTGCGTACGCATGTATCCTTTCGTCTTTCTTCCCATTTTTGCTGTCTATTATTGTTCCATTTTATTATGTCTAATAGAAGCGATTGCATACTCCTTATGTTGATTTATAAGAGTTGTATAACCTAATAATAATAATAATAATAATAATAATAATAATAATAATAATAATAATAATAATAATAATAATAATAGTCTTATTGATAATGTTGACAGTCATTTATGTTGTGGCCACATGTCTTCTAGCCCTGTGTGAATAACAGGCTATTGAAATAATAATGCCTAATCAAACATCTGGACAGTCAGTCAGGCAGTCAAGTAGATTCATCAGTTATACGTAATAAATAAACTACCTGACCAATAGTGTATATATTTGAATAACATGAATGTGGAGGTGTTTGAGGTGCAAGTAGCAGCATGTGATTGATTATTACATATCTTTCCTTCTATTTCTACTCGATTAATTTTTAAAACATATATATATATATAATATAGACGCGTAGGTTGGTATAAAAATGTATGAAATAGTAGACTGTAGGAAGTTCATTATAGTTGTAAGGCGGTTTTTCGTTTGTGCATTGAAATGTATGCTTGTGTGTATGTATGCATTGATTTTTATCGCCATTCTTACCTGCATGTCTTACGCATGCTTCAATTGTGAGTGAGTCGAGTTGATTATACGAGTTGATTTTCCAGCTTTTCTATCTATAGAACGGAGAACTAAATTCATCCACTCAGACTTGAAATGACATCATTTTGATGTCACTAACAAAACCGATGAGTCTACGTTTTTGTTAAAGTATGCCAATTCATACTATACATACATACAAAGTTAGGCGCTGGCATAGGTGTTCGACAGACCAATTGACACCTCTTACTTTTTAATAATAATAATAATAATAATACTAATAATAATTGCTTTATTCCAAAAACAGTACTCATGATACAGCAAGGAATTTTCAGCATTCAGTACAATATTGCATCTAATTTACCCAAAAACGACAAAAAAAAATTAAAAATACACAATACATAATAGTAATAAAACGATTGTTGTAGCAGCTGCGTAGCAAAATACTGTGTGCCATACGGAGAAAAATATGTATAAAGTACAAAATTGTAGTAATAATAGTAATACCAACTAATATAAAATAGCAGAGTAACGATTTAAACGATAGAAAGTGTAACTTCTGCTTTCCGATGATATTTGGACGGAGAAACTGTGAAATTTGGACTGTCGAGCTACTACTCTATTTTAGTCTGTGTTACAATTGTACCTCAAACCGCCATTATTTAAAAAAAATTACTTACAGTTAATATATGTCATCAAATTAGACATCAGGTTGAAGGTAAAACAGTAACTCATTGAAGAAGACATTGAGAAGTGATCTCACTATGTCAAAAAATTGGCAGAAGTTGGAATTCATCCGCTAGCCACTGGATAGGATCCCAGTGTCTTGCTGAATGCTCTACGGGATCGCTAGCCTTGTAATCAGAAAGTCCTACATTCGAACCTCCTGTTGTGTGAGTGAGTACTGCAGAAGAGTCCCAAACAAGGCTGGCGAAACAGCTGTCCAGTACTCCCTGTGGCTGGTTTTTGCAATGGTTCTCTAATTGAT